GCTGGGACTACAGGCATGCGCCACCATGCCCGGCGAATTTTTTCTATATGTTTTTAGTTGTCCAATTAATTTCTTTCTATTTTTAGTAGAGACGGGGTCTCTTGCTCAGGCTGGTCTTGAACTCCTGACCTTGAGCGATCCTCCCACCTCAGCCTCCCAGAGTGCTAGGATTACAGGTGTGAGCCACTGTGCCAGGCCTAAAGAGAAATTTTCACTATATGAAATGCAAGATTTTGGCATCATGTATACCTTATACATAGTAAAGCCCTAAAATCTGAAGAAAATTGGGAAATCAGATGTTTGAGTTCATTATTTTAGATAAGACCTTACTTTTTTTTTCAACAGAGATAGGGTCTCACTCTGTCACCCAGGCTGGAGTGCAGTTGCATGATCATAGCTCACTGCAACCTCGAACTCCTGGGCAAAATAATGATTTCCAGAAAATAGAGGATATACTATAAGAAGGAAAGTGCCAACAGGAAGCACACATGGGGGCTTCCAGGTTACTGGTCATGTTCTATTACAAGCTGAGCAGAGAGTATACAAGTGTTCTTTAAGTTACACTGCATGTGCACTCTTTATATACATGATATATATCTAACAATGAAAAATGTTTTTACAGAGTTTAAATAATGGTGGTTTGGGCAAACATCCATGTATCCACCTATCTCCTAAAAAAGTATGAGAACAGAATAAAGGCATATTTAGATGTACAAATTCCTACAATTTTTATCTTCATCCACCATTTTTCAGGAAGCTACTGAAGGATGTGCTGCCCAAAACAAGGGAGTAAACCAAGAGAGAAGTTATGGGGTTCAGGCAATAGGACTCCCACATAAGAGAAGGATAAAGGGTATTCTGAGAATACCAGCAAATGGAACTATCAGGACAGGAGGAACCAGACTAGACATGAGCAGTAGAGTAGAGAACTCTTGAACTTGGAGGAATGACTACGAGGAAAAAATAAACTAACCTATTGTTACCTGATATATTTTACCATGTAAAAAAACTTTATCAAGAAGTATTTTATAGACGTGTTTGAAGGTATGAGAAAACTCAGATGTTAAAAAGAAGGGCAATTACTCCGGAGGAAATAAAAAGTATTAATAGTTCAAGTAAGAAAATAAAATCACAGTACCTGGCTCAGTAAGGAACAATTCAGTAGTCATAATAAACAATATGCAGTAAATGAATGCCACAGAAAACTTAATTATACTGGGAGGACAGAAAGACTCCAGTGAGAGTGACCAAAACTCACCCACCATGTTAAGTCAACAGCCCTAAAATCGATGAATCAAGAGCAAACAGTAGAGACTACACATTATTTAGAAATACAGGGATAAATGCCAGAAGAAACAGGTAAAAGAACTGAAAGTAGATAGTTCCTCATCTGGGGCAGACAAGAGACCACACCATTTTTTATTTTTAACTTTTTTCGGTGTTAAATCTTTTTAGCAATGGTTTTATTTTCATGTAACACTTTGATAAGGTAGGAAGCCACCTGTCACTGAAGTGCTCACACGGACACTGTCTTTTTCTACATCGTAGAAGGGATTCTTGCATTCAGACACATTCACAACCATATACTGATAAATTGTACCCACCACGTCCATATGTATTAACCTATTCAAAATTCAAAGCAACGCTATGCAGAAATAAGCCCATTTCAGAAGAGAAAACTGAGGCTTGTTGAAGGTCAAAAACCAGTAAGTAAACAGACTGGCACAGGAACTCAAGGATTCTTAAATTGAAAGGCAGTTTCAGCTGGGCACGGTGGCTCACGTCTGTAATCTTAGCACTCTGGGAGGCCGAGGTGGGCGGATTGCTCAAGGTCAGGAGTTCAAGACCAGCCTGAGCAAGAGCGAGACCCTGTCTCTACTAAAAATAGAAAGAAATTAGAAATCAGCTGGACAACTAAAAATATATATATAGAAAAAATTAGCCGGGCATGGTGGCACATGCCTGTAGTTCAGCTGCTCAGGAAGCTGAGGCAGGAGGATCACTTGAGTCCAGGAGTTTGAGGTTGCTGTGAGCTAGGCTGACGCCACAGCACTCTAGCCAGGGCAACAGAGCCAGACTCTGTCTCAAAACAAAACAAAACAAAAAAAAAAAGGCAGTTTCACTCTATAATGCCACACTTCATAGGGAAGTGGACAAAATTATTTCTAAAGTCAATTTCCAACAGGAACATTATTATTTAATAATAGTGTGATTTCTAGAGATGCCAGAAAGAGCTCAACATCCAAGTTCCCCATTCGGTACTTCTGCCTTCATACATCCTGGGATTCATTAATAATACCTTAGATTTATACAGGGCTTTACCTTTTATTGGAGACTTTCACATACATTATACTTTCCTACTTAAGGAAAACATTTCCTACTTACCTGTAATGCTTTGTTTGCTTCTTTTATATCTTCTATTTTAAGTTTTGATCTAAAAAGATAACAAGTCCAAATTTTAGTACACATATTTAAATACAGAATACCTAGTAATTCATTAGGTATTGGTTTTTCATAGGATGTAAAATTGTACATATTTAATAGTATATGATCCTAATGATCTCTGGCCAGAATATTTCATATTTTCCTATATTTTCTAAATGTCCTAAAGCAAAAATCTATTTTTTAGATGTACGACTTATATTTCTAAGGAAAGAAATATTGGCATGTTCACATGATGATGATAATGTTAATAGCTCTCATTTATTATATGTTTACTGTGTGCCAGACACTATACTATAATCTTTTCATGTACTTAATCTTCACAAAAATCCTACTTTAACAATGAAAAAAGGCCTGACGAAGTTGAGTCACTTGTAAGAGGTCACAGAGGTGGTAACTGGAGGAGCCAGGATTCAAATGCTGGTCTGTGACCCCAAAGCCCACATGCTAACCATTATGTACACTATGCATCCAGCAGATAGAGAAGTCCTAAGGAAGAAAATATTGCAGAAGACAGAGTTGTGATACTTTTCTACTTTTTGCAAATATGTATGTTAATGAAAATGCAAATTATAAAAAGCAGTATTTAATTACATTAAATAGTGGGATCTGGTAGTGATCCCACTACCCAGAGATAATTTTCTCTACATGTCTATATGTGTATTTTAAATGGAATTATTATCTACATAGTTTTCCATAACCAGCTCTTTTCACTTAATATATCCTGAACAGCTTACAGCTACTAACTGGCAGATACTTAGTAACTGGTGGGTTGGTATATAACATGTGAAAGAATATAAAATGGTTTGCATAATTATGATCTACTGTTGAACTTTCAACTTGTTTCAAATTTTTCACCACAAAAGTTGTTTATTAAAATTGGAATCATCCCTGGAAGAAAAGGGGGTAAAAACAAAAAGTAAAATTGGAATGACTAGAACATCTGTATTATTTTTCTTAGAAATGAAATGACTGGATCAAAAGCTGTATCAAATACTCAAGTTTCTGCTACTGATACAGAACATTATAAACCTTCTTTGCCCTACAGGTGCTCTTCATTCCAAGACATAATAAAAGCACGGTGCCAGTCTTTTATCTAGTTTACACTGACTCTTACAGTGGAAATAATAAATGTAAAACTGTAAAAATGTTGACAGAACAATCAAATTTTTTTGGCTAAAATTCACATCTATAAAACGTGCCTCAGGAAAACTGACTCTGGTGGGAATAATGGCCACAACAGCAATGGCTTATCTGTGTGCTATACAGAAAAACTGAATATGGAATGACAGTGGCATAATGGCGTTTACCGGCAAAAAATAGTTATGAACATTTACTGATATTTATATATTCCTGATTAAAATGCTTTCTATTCACAAATATGGACTCAGAAAAGATTGTCTCCTTATGACACATACTGCCAAGTGTCCTAAAGAAGGAGGCCATCAGTTATAATTCCAATAAACGTAATGTACAAGAATATCTTCTCCTCATCCTAGATAGAGAGGAAACAGGTATCCATTATTTGTTTTAATTAGCTTTTATTAGGGAACATATATTTTAAGTGTGTGAAAATATTCTGATCTTAGCATGAAAACAGCATAGAAAAGGGTCAAAATAAAACATAAGAGGCTGGGCATGGTGGTTTATGTCTATAATCCTAGCAACTTGGGAGGCCAATGTGGGAGGATTGTTTGAGGCCCGGAGTTCAAGACCAGCTTGAGCAACATAGTGAGACCCTTGTCTCTACAAAAAATTGTTTTAAAAAATTAGTTGGGTGTGGCAGTGCACACCTGTAGTCCCAGCTACTCAGGAGGCTGAGGCAAGTGGATCACTTGAGCCTAGGAGTTTTGAGGTTGCAGTAAGTTATGATGCCACCAGCCTACTACACTCCAGCCTGGGCAATGCGGCAAGACTCTATCATTTGCTAATAAATAAATAAAAGAATGAATGAATATAATGAATGTGATACAATCAATTATGATGCCATAGGAAAATACCCATAAACTACACAAGCTTCTGATAATCCTGAAACCCTTACTTTCCAGGGGAAAAAAATCTATAAATGTCTTTATATGGAAAGGATAGCATTTACAGAATATAGACTTGGAAGAGTCCTGGTAATTTCATTATCTTTTTCTAAACTAAAAATTCTTCTTGCTAGAATTTAAGCCTCAACGAAAATAAGGAAAAGGCTAGTTATCATCCTTCACAGAATACTCAATGCATTTTAAACTGTCGGTCATTATAATACAGATATACTAATTAGATTCTCTTCCTTGAATATTTCATCCTAATATTTCATATGTTCCATGTTTTCTTCAAATATGAATAGTTTCCTTTAGGCTTATTTTCGTTTAATTCTCAAATTAGTCTACTATAATTATAATTCATTCAGAACAACAATGTTTAAAGCCTTCCAAAATCTATCAAAAATTCTCTATCGGGCCGGGCGCGGTGGCTCACACCTGTAATTCTAGCTCTCTGGGAGGCCGAGGCAAGCGGATTGTTTGAGCTCAGGAGTTTGAGACCAGCCTGAGCAAGAGCGAGACCCCATCTCTACTGAAAATAGAAAGAAATTAGCTGGACAACTAAAAATATATAGAAAAAATTAGCTGGGCATGGTGGTGCATGCCTGTAGTCCCAGCTAATCGGGAGGCTGAGGCAGGAGGATCGCTTGAGCTCAGGAATTTGAGGTTGCTGTGAGCTAGGCTGACGCCACGGCACTCTAGCCCAGGCAACAGAGTGAGACTCTGTCTCAAAAAAAAAAATTTCTCTATCAGAATCCTTCAATAATAAACCAATAAGTAAATATTTCATTTTCAAAAGTATATTTCCAATTACAATTAACCATTTACATTTAAAATGGCAAGTTGAGATGATAAGGACTAGGAAGTAACTTCCAGATCCAACCCATTCATTTTACAGTCAAGAAACTGATATTCTGGCTGTGATGAGGAAAGGCACTGTATTAGGTGCTTTCATATACATACTTATTTCTCAGTTAATTAGAAAAAGAACCCTTTGAAGATTTTATAAGTCTCCATTTTACAAACGGGGAAATGGGCTTAAAGAGGTTACATAATTGACCCTAGGTCACAAAACTGGTAAGTGGCAGAAGGATCTGATATTCCTGTGAGTGACATTAATGAATACTAATTTTTAAATCTAGTATTAACTTGAAAATGCAGAGCTCAAATGGTAAGTTTAAGAATAACTCTTTCTGAAATTTTAATTTTCCCTTTGTTGCAAAATTAAAAGAAGATTCGAGGAAACCATTCCGTATGTTTCATTATCATTCTATTAAATACATGATGTTCCCAACCCCATTTTAATAACACCTAAATGGTCTATAAAGCCTAAAGCCAATTCTGGTAAATTAGGAGCAAGGTTAAACAGCATTTATCCAATCTCAGTCCCTCACCATCAACAAGTTTTTAAAGAAATATTTTATCATCCTGTGTAGCAGAGGGAAATTTGTTTTTATTTATTTCAATCTGATAACATACGAGAATAGAAGAAGAGAAGTAAAAGTGTTTCAGCAGATAAATTGGTATGGTCTGGGAAAACTCAATGGATGGGGCCATTGATCCCTTCTCTAGCCCTGATTCAATTCTTGTCACTGCAAAAGAACTAGAGTTAAGAAAGGATAAAATATGTTCTGACCTAAAACTGGTGCTACCTGTTTTAGGGACTACGGTCTCAGGGGCAATAAAGGAAAATTCCAATAACCCTGCACCATAAAAATTCAAATATTAGGCCGGGCGCAGTGGCTCATGCCTGTAATCCTAGAACTCTGGGAGGCTGAGGAGGGAGGATCGCTTGAATTCAGGAGTTCAAGACCAGCCTGAGCAAGAGCAAGACCCATCCCTACCAAAAACAGAAAAATTAGTGGGCCTTGTGGTATGCACCGGTAGTCCCAGCTACTCAGTAGGCTGAGGCAGGAGGATCGCTTGACGCCAGGAGTTGGAGGTTGCTGTGAGCTAGGTTGACCCCATGGCACTCTACTCAGGGCAATGGAGTGAGACTTTGTCTCAAAAAAAAAAAAAAAAAAAAGGTCCAGGCGAGGTAGCTCATGCCTGTAATCCTAGCACTCTGGGAGGCCAAGGCAGGAGGATCGCTTGAGCCCAGGAGTTGGAGGTTGCTGTGAGCTAGGCTGATACCATGGCACTCTAGCTCAGGCAACAGAGTGAGACTCTGTCTCCAAAAACAAAAAATAAAAATAAAAATAAAGATTCCTTAAATAGCCTATAAAGTTCAGTATAGACTGTGTCATATATCCAACCTTGAGCAGTAATTTTCCTGCAAACTAAAATTTGAGAAATAATGACCCAGATCAAAGGAAATAACAAGAGTCTGAAGGCAACATCTAGACATTCAAATGATCATGCCTTTAATACAGCTATAAAGTCTCTAGTGTTAAGTAGGGGATGGGCGAAAATACACATTCCTTGTTTTACTATTCCCTTAGATTTTAAATTAAACCTTTATGATCTTAATAAATATAAATGTTTATTTTTTATTGTGGGGATTGTTCACTGTTAAGTCTCTAGCACTTAGCATAGTGCCTGGCACATAGTAGAAGCTCAATAAGTATTTGTCAAATAAATAAATGGGAAATAAGGTAATAAGCATATAGCACAAGGTCTGGCTCAAAGTACTCAATAAATGGATGCTAGATTGGAATCAAAATCTTGCTTATCAGAACTATAATGCAAATTCATTATTCTCTGAAAAGTTATAGAGACAAAAATAGCTTTTTCTTTTTGAGAGCTGATATTAATACATCATTTTGTGGTTCTAGTGAATTACTTTCTTATGCTCCTGAATTGGTTTCATTACTTCTTAATAGAATCCCACCTTCAGCCATTAAGTCTCCATTCTAATGAGTTCTACTGAGTTAAATTTTTACAAATGTCATATGCACATACATATAACTAATTCTATCTATATAAATGACAAGATGCTTATATACGGATTTGCTCAGAGGTTAGCTAACTTTGGGGATTGATACCTGGGAGGAGAGGCACTTCTTAAAATTTTATACCTTTTTGTGCTGTTTGAATTTTCTAATCATATTAAACATCAAAAAAGATTTAGACAGGTGATGAGATTATAAGCCATTGCAGCTTTCTCATTTTTACTGTTCTCTATTAAAAAGAATGATAGGTTTTTTTTTTTAATGTGGCAGTGGTACATTCAATACTAAATTAAACATTGAGCTTACTCCAAATACCTGGTAATATGTTAAATCAAGGCACAAAGATAGAACTGCTCATTAAAAACACAGACCACAAGGAACAAAAAGGAGAGTGCAAGAAAGGTAGAACACTATTTCTCCTTTTCTTTATAGGATCCCACTGACATTTTATTGCAATAGGACCATATTATATGAAGTTAAGCCCTGACTCCAGAACATAAAACCACTTCCACTTGCCATGATACTGGCTCCTTCTCAAAACAGTGTGAAAGAGCTCTCCGGATATTTTGAAAATTCAACTTCTGTTGTTCTGAGAAAAATATATTAAATGACCTTCTGAATTCTCTGAAATTTTACCAAAGTCTACAGGGAAACATTCAGAGCTAAGATCTACTAAAATGAACATAACTTTTAATAAGCTCTCCCTAATCTAGTCTTATTTTTTAATCATTAAAGTTTTTATTTTGTTTAATTGTTCTTCTTTCTTTCTTGTATTTAAACTTTTCTGCCTATTTGGTTTAGTACACTTATACCTTTTATAAAAGCCAGTAACTTAGTTGAAGGAAAAAAGAGAAATTACTCGCTAAGTTTGTTGCCAAGTTCTTGAAGAGCTTGTTCTTGTTCATGATATATTTTTTTCAACTGCTGATTTTCATCCTGGAGGTTAAGGAACTCCTTCAGAACAATAAAAGACAGACAATGCAACTTAAAAGAAAGAAAAAAGAAACTCCACATTGTGTAATACATATACCATTAATTAGGAACAAATATATTAATACTTCAGCTTTTTATAAGAAACAGAACTATGTGTCTAAAGCTCTTTCCTAGCTGCTCTATGTATCAGCTGTTTTCCATTCACTTAATCTCCTTACTGACATTTTTTAAGATACTAGTATATCCTGTTTCCTTGGTATAAATGTAAATTATGGTTTATCTTTTTAAATAAGTTAACATTCATCAAGATATAATTTTTAAAGTTTTACCACTATTTACTTTTTTAAGACTAATGATTTGTTGGGTCTCATTTCTAAGATGAGATAAGGCATCTTTCTCCTTTTGAAGATCTTCCTGCAAAGTCTGCCTCCATTCCTTCTCAATCTTCAAATCAGTCTCCAGTTGTACCCTTGAATGACAAATAATACACAGAAGCTCAGTGCTGTTTCTCACATGACAGCTGTATGTGTTCTTTAACAAGAGCATCTTCTTTGATTGATTACTTTGGCCTTTGTAATACATTTCTTCAGACATTTTCTTTCATAAATACTTTTTGGTAAACAAGTTCAGCAGTACAGCAATTACCAATCACAAAGTATCAATTCATTTGCCCGCCACCAAAAAGAATCCTTGCTAAATAATTTATATCATTTATTAATTCTATATACACAAATATTGTATAGGCATAGAAAATGCTATGGAAAGGCACTCACCATACTACTTAAACTGGTTACATCTTATGAATGGAACTAAGGGGAAGAATGCGGGGTTGTAATTACCTACATTTCTATGCCATGTGAAAATTTTTACAACCTAATGAAAAGGATTATTCTGACATGAGAATTATAACAATTGCCAAATCAAATTTAACATCAGTAACAGAAAATCAGCCCTGGTACAAAGTGCTAATTTGTAGATTACTGTTGGAAGCTGACGGATTACAGGAGAGATCTAAGACCAAGCAGACATTGGGGAAAAGTCCACACTGCCTGGAAATGCCAGTGCTCATCTGAAAGCACTCCTACATTATTCTAGCAATAGGTACTAGCTGGCAAAACAAAAGTAGTTCAATTTCTACATTCTAGGTTGACCAAAAACAAAAAAACCATTGCCATAATTATTGCTCATAAGTAGGTATAACAAGTGAGGTGTATATGTACTAATAATACTATAGTTTCTAATATTTTACATTTTAATTGCAATATTGTATAATACTAAGCATACGACAGTATTACATTATTTCAATATTTTTGTGTTAATATTTTGATTACTTTTTGTTTCCTCATAGTTAGCATTTCCAACTACAGCCACACATTTTCCAGGGAAATAAATTCTACATTGCATAATTCAGGTTGAAGAGATGAGATACCTGAGAATGGAATTTACAAACTGTCGATAAATACTATTTCACTACAAATTTAAAAAGAATACAGAGGGACAGGTAGAGCAGGTCCTTGAATATTGCTGTTTCATTAAACTTTGTTTCATTATAAAGTTGTTGAGAAAAACAATCGATTCCTGGCCAGGGCCACTGTCTGTGTGGAATTTGCATGTTCTCCCTATGTCTGCATGGGTTTTCTCCGTGTACTCCGGATTCTTCCCACATCCCAAAGACGTGCAGATTCAGTTCATTGGCATGTCTATATGGTCCCCATCTGAGTGAGCATGGTGTGTGTGTGAGTACCCCCTGAGATGGAATGGCATCCTGTCCAGGGCTGGTTCCCACCTGGCACCCTAAGCTGCCAGGATAGGCGCCAGCCACCCACAACTCTGAACTGAAGTAACTGGGCAAATGATTCACTTACTTGTTTTTATGAATCTTTCTTAAATGTATGTATAGCTCACATTTATTTCAATATTTAATATTAGAAGTGTTTTGGTCTTTATTTAGAAGTTCAGTGATGTTTTTGTGACCAGAAATACGCCACAGAAACTTAACTCTTGGCCGGGCGTGGTGGCTCAC